ACTAACGGGATCGTGTGGCAAGACTCGCTGACTTGGTTGACACATGTCATGGGATCCCAATTGCATAGATTGATTCTAATGATGGTGAACACTAGATTGTCTGGTTCAGACCGCCGTCATATAGCTTGAATATTGCTGAGTTCGGCGTTCAACAACAAACAAAGATGTAATTGTTTAAGTAAAATTGATATTTTATACTTATCCCGACTCATGATCTTTGCTTATCTCCCTCTTCTATGGGAATGTTAGTGGAACACTTGAATCCTTTGAAGTTCCCTAAAGCGGACGTAAAAGTACACTCACCCACGAGTTACCTCCCTTTTCTCGCGCAAACAGTCATGTGACCAGCCTTACTTGTCACTCTCCTGATTTTAAGCCCATGCACCTGGATCTACTGTGAAATCCGAAGTGTTTTCAGCGGGGAGGTTGGGAGGACCATCAGCATTCTGTTGATCAGTGAGCTCGACCAGAGTTGTATGGCTTTGATCACAGCTTTCATTTCCAGCAGATTGATGTGAAGATGCTGTTCTGTTTTTGCCCACTTCCCTGATGCAACTTGGTTGTTGACATGTGCACCCCATCCTTGTATCGATGCATCTACGTAAAGATGTGTGTCGAAAGCCGGCTCTTGTGTATAGGTCCCTCCGCAGACATTCGACCTGTGAGTCCACCAAAGCAGGTACGTTTTGAGGTTGTCTGGTAGCGAGATAGGGTCGACGCTGTGCCGATGTTTTGCCAGGAATCGTTGCAACGGTCGTAGTTGTAATCTTCCTGTGCGAGTCAAGTCCTGCGCTGAGGTTAGTAGACCGAGTAGACATTGCAATGTTCGTAGTGTTAACGGAGTGATGACTGCTTGAGGAATCATGGCTTGTATCTTGACCCAACGATCTTCTGGTACCACAATTCGATTCTGTGTTGTGATAAATCTTATTCCCAGAAATTGAAGATCTTGTTTTGGTTCTAACTCTGACCTCATCAGGTTCACTAGCCATCCTAGTTGTGTGAGTTGATTGGCATTTTGATGAACCTGTATGCCATCGTCCAGTTGAAAAGCACTGAGTTAGACCTCGATGATGTAGGTAGGCGACGATAGGATTGATTATTCGTGTCAATAACCACGGAGCCAACGATATTCCAAACGGTAGGACGTTCCATTGGAAGTGCTGCCCTCTGAATAGGAATCTTAGATATTTTCTTGATTCTGGATGTATGGGGGGATGTGCAGATATGCATCCTGGAGGTCTATGCTGGCCATGTAATCTGCTGGACGGGCGAGTAGTCTGAGTTGAGATAGGTGGATCATTCTGAACCTGTCTGGTTTGAGTATATAATCTTGGTTGAATTTTCTCATGTTGTAAATCAGCTTGAATTTCCCTTTAAAATCCTCTTGGGTACTAACAAAATTGGGGAGTAGAAGCCTGGTGTGAGATGATGTTGATCTATTCTTTCTACCGCATTCTTGGTTAGAAGCGAGTTGATGGCTTCTTGTAGCTTGTCTCCCTCCTCTGAAGCTGGAGTATTTCTTCTCCTCAGCCTTCTGGATACCGGAATATTTAGACTTGCTGCTGTACTTCTGTGAAGTATGGCGAATGACGTTGGCTAGAGAATCTATAGACTTGATCATCATGACTTCCCTAGAGTCGTGAGAAGCTTCCTTAGCTGCTTCATCTATCTCACTTCCGAATATAGTAGGCGCCACCCAAGGAGCTCTAAGTAGCGGTTGGGTAAATCTGTCACTCCAGGAACAAGATGCCAGTAGACCCTGTCTCCATATCAAGGTGAGACCGCCGACGTTGAGGCCAAATGGTCCGATATGAAGTATTGGTCCTTCTTCTGAGTTAGCAGAGCTGATAATATAATTCTATCTTCTTCCGAACTGGGGTTCTGGAACTAATGCCCCATTGATTGCTCCGGATCACGCTAATCTGAAGAAGGATCTCCTCGTTGAGGTATCAATTGGGCCAACTTTTTATCCTCCATCTTGTAAGTCTTGTTCCAAGAGTCGTTAACCAATTTCATATTGTCGTCTAAGTCCGGCGCTCTCATAAAGGGGTCCATGTGATGTAAAGGGAATTTCATCACATTAAATGATGGCAGATGTTGATTCTGGAATCGCGTAGCTTTTCCAAAAGCCGTGCGTAGATTCGAAGCCACCTTGGATATTGGCTCAATTGGAGGAATAGTCGCCGAGTCGAAGTCGTCCTTCCAGAACTTATATGTGTAAGCTTTATCCAATTCCTTGGCGGGAGACTCTAAGTCTAGCTATCCAAGATGTGACCTCCGCTTCTTCAAAGACGTAGTCACCGTGTTCATCAGATAGTTCTTGGTAAGTTGAACTATGTCTTCGTGAACCCTCCTTCTGCAAACCTTCCTTTCGCGAACCTTGCTTTCGTGAACCTCTATCTCATGATCCATCCCTTCGCGAAACTTCTCTTTCGTGAACCTTGCCTTCGCGAACTTCTCTCTCGTGAACTTTGCCTTCGCGAACATTCCTCCAAACGTCTGTGAGGGCTGTGGGATCTAGATCTGGAACGGCTGCATCTCGGAGAAGGCTTCCTAGACGTTCTCGAACGTTGAGGGTTCGCAGACGTAGCTCTTGTAGTGTCAGGGGCCTTCGCGAACCTTCCATCTTCTTCCATAATGACTGAATCGTCAGATTGTGATGATCTTCGTGAAAGTGAACATTCGTGAACGCTGTCTCCAGATGTAGATCTGTGAGGCGTATCAGATTCGCGCAGGTCCGAGGGTTTGCGAGCGTTGCCTGTCAACGTGAGGTGCTCTCGTGCCTTCGCTTCCTCATCAAACCGTCGTTCCATCATGGCCATCATTTGTGTAGTAAATTGCCTCATAAAGTTGCCTGGATCAAAGTTCTGCGTTGTCTGGAACTGATGTGGCGTAGACGAAGCGTTCGCGAATGCTGAGGTGTTGAGTGCTTCTACTTCACTACGCTGAGAATTTGGTGGTTGGTTGTCAAACAGCCTGAGAGCTGTTGTAGTTGCAGGAGACGATCGTGTAGTCGTGGTGGTCTACTGCTTCGCCAGTCTAGTAGGTCTAGTAGGTACTTCAGGCAGAAGTATCTGAGGCTCATCAAACACGTCTGCTTCATGAGGCGGGATGATCTCTTCATTAAACGACCTCTGATGAGTTGACTTGCTAGGTCGCGTTGATATCGAGGCTGATCTAGTTATAGATGCCCTTTTCTGTGTTGTAGATGATGAAGAAGTCTTCTTCTTACTCTAAGAGGGCGCCAACTCAGTCCTAGCAGACCTCTTCTTCGACCTCGTAACAGACGACTGCCCCTGCAACGTACTCGACATAGCACTTGAATTATGTATTTTTGCAGTAGCAAACAACATACTGTTACCGGCTTGATCTCCAGGTTTATTAACAGTGACTTGTGATTCCCTCACCCGATCTATCGCACGTCTATAGATGTAAGACAAATATTGATTAAATTGTAAATTTAATAAACCAATGCAATATGTACAACGCAAGGTGGAAGACCATGACTCAATGCATGACGGGCATTGGGGGTGAGGATCAGCCACTGATAGCCGGAACCTGCAAACACTGCAAGATTTCATGAAATGTAAACAAGTTACATTACGATGAAAATACGTCATAAAATACAAATAATTTTTTACATATAATACAAGCTAGTTATAGCCAAATACCATACACAGCGTAATTTCGATAAATAGGATCTAAATATAAAGGATATATGCCGCATACGGGACTCCAGTGCTCGCCCAACCATCCGCTTGGGCGAAAAGGGAGAGAGTGACAAGAAAGGCTGGTCGCATGACTGTTTGCTCGGGAGAAGGGAGGTAACTCGTGGGTGAGTGTACTTTTACGTCCGCTTTAGGGAACTACAAAGGATTCAAGTGTTCCCCTAACATTCGCATAGAAGAGGGAGATAAGCAAAGATCATGGTTCAGTATAAGAAAAAATAAAACCTTCATCTACGAATGGCTAGTTAGTATATATGTTACAGGGAATGTGTGAAACCAGGGATTTCACGTAATCCCTGAAAGAGTCAGTGATTTCATGAAATCCCTGTGACCCCCAGGGATTTCATGTATTCCCTAAAATTTTCAGGGATTTCATGAAATTACTGAAATATTAGCTCAGGGATTTCATGAGTAAGCCCTTATTGAAATAGAGAACATCAAATTTACAATGCGAGTACAGAGTATATCCTGATAAAATTCATTTGTTGGGACAAGATAGCCTGTTATCATACAAGCTATTACACTTCAGTAGCACTTTAAAACATTTACAACGTATCGATTTACATTGGTTAGGACAACGGTTACATTTCTGGAAACCCTGACCACCACAATTCGACTCTCAAACCCATATCCCAAAGCTCTTCTTCAACAGCGGGATGGTGTATATTCTAAGTTATTTCTATAATCGCTCATCAGCATACAAAGGACAATGCAATAAAACAACCTCTGTAACTTTTGAAACTACAAAAGGAATATTGATACACAACGTTGGTATCGTTATATCAACACCCAACGACAAATTATTAATCATAACAATTAGATGCACTAGTGTAATGCCGCGATAAGACATAGGGTCTCTCAGGTTGTCCGCTGTAGGGGTAATGATCCCCTGGGCCCAGTTGGAGGGAACATGACCAGTCTCATAACATGTAGACAACAGTTTATGAAGATAATCTATACAGATGTCATTTGTCAAAACATCAACTGGAATATTATTGGTGAATTCCCTCTCTTAGCTTGACTTAGTGTCATCAGTAAATAGTCAAAGTTTTTAACTCCTAAGACCTAAGGGATGAAATGAGACTCAACAGTAAAGTTTTAAGCTACAAACATTAACAGTGAAATGTTAGGGAATACATGTACATGAAATCCCCGGGGGTTATGAAACTTCTTTCCAGAGTTGGTCTGATGTTTTCATTACATTCCGCGCTTAAATGAATGCCTGATCATGAACCGATTTGGAGTTAGATTGTGATTCGCCGGTATCATTTTGGCCCACACAGACTAATAGATAACATCAAAGTCATGAACACCCTCTGTTTCACAGACGTCATGCTGATCACCTTGTAGACAGGTATTGTCGTTAATCCACCCCGCTGCACATCCTCTAGGACACGTCCCCGTCACCTTGTCACAGCCGTCTCCATCCAGACACTGCCCACATCGGGAGGAGCAGTTGACACCGTAGAAGCCGTCCCAACATGCTGGCAGCAGAATATGCAACATCCATTTAAGTTGTTCATATTGTGGTTACATTGTAAACTGATATAGTATTTAAAACGTGTCAGTAAAAGATATATGAATACACGTGTCATTGATAGCAATCCCGAGAAGAATCGTGTTAGAATTGGTCTTCAGCGTACAATGCTTGCCGTAAAGGCGTCTCACGGGATCGGTGTTCAGGCTGGTAATCGGAAAAAAAAAGCATCAGTGAAAAAAGAATCGGAAAAAAGAATCAATTTTTGCTAGAAAAAAAAATCAGTTCACACATTTATTGGTGGAATAATGAACCAATATCATAACCAATATAATCTATATATATAATATAATACATGTATAATCATATATCAATTTGCAGAATGTGTTCACTATCAAAACTAATGTAACCATATACCAATTATACATGATTGGAAGCAATCCCTTAACAATATCTCTTCCACTCTGATGTTGTGTTTTTATAAGCTGATTCTTTATACCAATTATACTTGATTGGAAGCCAGTTATTCCTTAACAATATACTGACTGTAAGCTTTTTTATAAGCTGATTCTTTTTTTGCTGTTTCTTTTTTTCCGTTTCTTTTTTTCCTGATTCTTTTTTTCCTACAATCTTTCAGGCTCGCTGACTTGGTTGACTTATGTCATCGTATCTCTGTTGCGTAGAACGATGCACATGATGCTGATGACTGGATCGTCTGGTGCAGTCTCGATTTACAGACCGACGCCATATAGCTGGAATATTGCTGCGAGTGGCGTTAAACAACAACCAAACATAGTAATCATAGTTTGTACGTACGTCGTATGCATCTGTAATCATCCCATCCTGCGCTACATCCTCCTGGACATGCTCCGGTTGTCCTGTCACAGATATCATCATCCAGGCAGTTTCCACACACGGAGGTACAATTGAACCCATAGGTATCACTTTGGCAGGCTGAAGACATAACATGTGTTTTCATTATCTCGCAATTCTCAAATCAAACAGTCAAGCACAAAACAAAATTTACTACAGTTGACGTTTCAAGTCATTCGTGACCAACTCGTGTTATTCCGGGACAAGCCGAATAGCGAGGTTACGGGAAGGGGCGAGTGGTGACGAATGATTTCAAGTGTGATAGACACATACATACTGATGACGTATAAGGACTGAAGAGGTTCACTTAGGTTTTAACAGAGACTTGTAATGGCGAGGGGCGATGAGATAGCTTAGTATGGTTAAACCGCCCGGTCATCAAGCCAAAGACACGGCATTTGTCGCCATTACCAAGCGTATAATGAGGCGTGAAAACGCGGTGCTCAGAAAAATACACCTGTTTAAAAAAACACATCATATTTCTGATTTTACACTGTGTATATTGCTTATCTCCATTTTGAGAGATCCACTCATCTATTCGTTGCATACAGTGGCTCATCATATTTTAGAATATGCATTAGAAGAGGATCATAGACGAAATCAGCGTAGATATGTTGAAATATTTTGGTCAGTTCAACAGAAATTGTGGGCGATGGGGGTAGTCTCGTGGTTAAAGCGTTCGCTCGTCACGCCGAAGACCAGGGTTCGATTCTCCACATGGGTACAATGTGTGAAGATCATTTCTGGTGTCTCCGCCATGATATTGCTGGAATATTGATAAAAGTGACATAAAACCATGCTCACTCTGATGATGATAAGATGGGGTTTGTCGTTCTTTACATACTAGCAAATTATGTCGCATTTATCAAGGTCAGTTAGTAATAAAAAATAACAAATTTAATATTTCAAGTATACATATTTACGCCTAAATTGAGACTAAGATTCTATTAGAGGACAAGTGGCTACCAGCGTATAAACACGTACGGGACAAGCAGTCTGTGCCGTTAAATCCTAAGGCACATCCGCTGGGACAGTCCCCTGTAATCTTGTCACAGACCTCTGTGGTGTCCAGACAGTTGCATTGGAAGTCACAGTCGCCAGCAAACCATCCGTCACTGCAAACTAAAGAAGTATCATAGTCAAGCGAGTGATAATGAAGGGCGCAGTGGACGTATCAAATAACAGAGCACTTCATTGATATCGTATTCATTTCATGATTAAATGCATTGCAAACAGAACAAGGAAACTCGGCTCTTTCCTGTAACGCTCTTGGAAATGTAGTAGCAAAGTCGTAGTAACCGGCCCTTTCCTGTAACGTTCTTGCTAATGCAAGAATGCAAGAATAACCTTGTTTTCTAAGGTCCGGTCGTAGCATAGTTGTTACGCCGTCATGCCGACGGCCTGGGTTCTATCCCCTTTATGGTAAAATGTATGAAGTCCATTTCTGTTGTCCCCCGCCGTGATATTGCTGGAATATTGTTAAAAGCAGCGTAAAACTAAACTCACTCGTTCACGTTTTCTTAGTACCCTGCAGTGAGTGAGTTAAAATTGTAAGTCACATCGGCAGTATTTCAGCCATTTCGTGACTAAAACAAGGTCTAAATGCACGATAAATACATTTAAATTATAAAAACCTGTCGACAAATGACGGTAAAAACCACTAGCATGAGAACCAGAACATAAAACTAGCATCTAACTCTAAAAGTGGGTTTCACATATGATATGTTTTTGATACTCTGAATGTTTTGGGACTTACGTATCCGCAGTTGACATGTTAACAACACCTCTGTAGGCACTTATACTCACCAAATATCTGTACTTCGCATAGCGTTAGATAACCTATGGGTATCTGTATGGACACTGTGTGTCCTGTCAGAGGCTGGGAGCAGATGACGTCTTGTCTCTCTAGAGGGCGAGAGGATGCATCCCAACTGAAGCACAGCCGATTGTCCACAAATATCTCCATGCCTCCGTTTCGTGCCAGTTCTGTTAGGATGATCAAAGAGTGAGTGAGTTTAGTTTTTTGCCGCACTCAGCAATATTCCAGCTATATGGCGGCGGTCTGTAAATAATCGAGTCTGGACCAGACAGTCCAGTGATCAACAACATGAGCATCGATCTGCGCAACTGGGAACCGATGACATGTGTCAACCAAGTCAGCGAACCTGACCTCCTGATCCCGTTAGTCGCCTCTTACGAAAAGCATGGGTTACTTAAGGCCAATACTCTAACCCGGACCTTCACGGGTCCCAACGATCAAAGAATTCAACTTTTTCTGATATTATTAGTTTTTACGGATTACAATAAATAGCAGAAGAGAGGTTTGGTGGTCCTGGCACAGTCAGGCTGGTAAGGATCATCATCAGCTCAGGTACCCTTGCCCCCTCTACACGCAGCCTAGACAGCGAATGGGACTTCTCCCAGGGAGCTGCCTTGCCGAGCCCACCAAGAACTTTCCGGAGAATAAGGAGACTCCCCAACACCGCAGCCTCCTGCATTACCCACGGTGTCGGAAGAGCTGTGCTCACGGAGGAGAACCCAGGCACATTCCTGCTTCGTCTGTCTCACAAGCCCTTAACCACATTACGTTTCCTTCCAGTCAGCCCATCTGCATTGCGAAAGCCCCAAATGAAGCAAGTCTAGATTCCTTAGGTTCTGGAATCTCTAATATCATTGGGTCCCCTTTTCTATTTAGATATTTATGTCTATCAAAATTACATATAATCAGAGACTCAGCGTTAGTCTAAACTCCTGAGCTTGTTGTCTATTGTATGTGGAACTTCTGCGGTTAGGACAGTGGTAAATCTAACAATAATTAGTATGAGGTTTTCTTACGTAGCCTCCATAGCGACGCGACTACGGGGGGTACATGCGGGAAAGCATCTCAAAGCTGTAACATTATCAGGAAACACTAATTTTCTAACGCTGACCCACCCAGAATGATTATGCGAATATATTGTTTCTTTTATTAACAAAATATAAACCATGTTGTGGTGTATCACCCACCGACAAATTCTGTCGGGAGGGTTAAGGATTAAATAGGTCGATCTGACTTGAATTTCTCTGAATACAACCTAACAATTGTGAGTGAAATGATTTAACATAATACATAGCATCGGCAATGATTCAGCTATTTTCCAACGTTAACATCAAATACCTGTTGACAAGGGACAGCAACAGTTTGATTGATATGCCATGCTGCATAAACAACAACCAATTAGAAGTTAAAATTTTATCAATACAGTAAGAAAAAAATACATTTACACAACTGACGGTCGCTCGGCTATGTGATATATATATGGACGTATATGTGCATACTTACGGTCTGGCCTTAAATACAGTCTGATATGCTGCACCTTGTCTGTGTCGGAGGTATTCAGGTAAACCCTCCATATTGCGGGTTGATCATAGCGTGTGTGTGTACAGGTATACGGCAGACTATTGAAGTTTGTGTTAGCATTGCCATCCACGCCAAGATCGGAGGTAAAATAGGTACTGCCTCCTACGTATGTGCTGCTCTGATTGGTCGGGCTTCTTAGAGCAATGTTTCCTGTTGATAGATCGAACTGACCGTAATGGCTAGAATAACCTGCTAGTGTTAACGTACATGTGTTCTTGTCCAGGGCCTATATTTTCGAAGCTCTTTTAGCGCTAAGATAGTCGTAAGTACCATACATTACATTAACTTACGACTATCTTAGCGCTAAGAGAGCTTCGAAAATATAGGCAGTGGTTCCCGATCCAAAAGCGTTCGTAAATTTACGACCTGTCGTAACTCTATAGTTTATCATAGGCTTACGAATGTCGTAGCGCTACGAACGTTTTGTGGATCGGGACCCTGGTAGAGAGCGCTCCATGAGGTTTCTAGGTTTGTCAACAGTAAACACATGGGTTTCATCACCTAATATACATCTGAGACTTGCTGACTTCGGGATTTTCTCCCACATTAAGCGGACAGGCCATGAGCTGGAACTGAGATCAAGCGGCTTTAACCCCAACTGTTTCACTTACTTCATATATCTTTGTTTTGTTTGTTTGTTGTTTAACGCCACACTCAGCAATATTCAAGCTATGTTGGTAAATAATCGAGTCTGGACCAGACAATCCAGTGATCAAAAGCATGAGCATCGATCTTCGCAATTGCATACGACGATATGTGTCAACCAAGTCAGCGAGTCTGACCACCCGATCCCGCTAGTCGCCTCTTACGACAAGTATGGGTTACTGAAGATCAATTCCAACCCGGATCTTCATGGGGCTTTATATATCTATATTTATATTGATCAATTACTTCTCACACCAAAGGTTCCTATACAGTATTGCCTCATGATAGAAGTCTTCCGACCTTACGAATACTGGCAATTACTCAAACCAGGGAGACTATATGTTGTAGAGTATCCCTGTTCAAACCCTGCCTTGTTGAGCGAACACGGAAGACATTCCACAATTAACTGCTCCTGGGATCGCAGCAATACAATACGTACCAGTGTGTACTCACGTTTCTGACAGTACTGACCAAACCACCCCGCCTGACACATGTCTCGAGCGCCGACCTGGCTGCAGGGAGTTGAGGGGAATACGTCGCAGGCTCTTTGAGTGTCACAGTGACACGTCCCATCTGACACAGTGAGTGAGTGAGTGAGTTAATATTTAACGTCACATCGGCAATATTTCAGCCATATCGTGACGAGAACATTTGATATTGAAATGAAATATATGTATATTATAAAAAACCTGCCAACGAAGGGCAGTAAAACAACTAGAATATCACATATACAGATAAAACTAGTAATAGAGTCTAAAACATTTTAACCACAGGGGACAACACAATATAAAAATGGGCTATAGATCACCAACAACTGGAAGTAGGTCACCATACTAGGGTCCATGGGGACTTACAGTACCTTTGCTACCTGCATGGACCCTAGTTGGATTTACACCATCCCTTCAGCCGCTGGTGATTGTAAGACAATTTAGCCGAAATCTAAATGAACAAAAATACTACGTTTAAAAACTTGGTATGTGAAAAGTCTACTTTGAAAGTTTTGGGACTTACGTACCCTCTCAGGAGGACAATAATTTTACAGTACTTTAACCTCCTTTGAGGGTACAGCCACTAACAATCTAAGGTACTTATCTAAATTACCAATCTTTAAAATATATCTATTTATAAACCACATTAATCAGAATTCATCAAAGAAATCAATTTCTTTTAAAAAACCAATAATTAAATGATAATTAACATTTGTAAAAGATCCTTCATTGTTTTTTACATTGAATATTTATCCCTTTATGATGGAGAATTCAACACAGTCAAGCAGGACATGCTTGACCGTGGTTCTCTCATCACAAGGGATACAAAACGGAGGATCCTCACCTTCAATAGGTATTTGTGAGTATAACGCGTATGGCCAATGCGACATCGTCGCATAATGACCTCCTCAAATCTGGACTGACAACCCAAGTAGGTGTAACCAATATAAGGTTTTATTGCATGTAGTTTATTAATACCTACTTGGTTGTCCCACTTCTTCTGCATCAGATCACGGATGTAAGTTCTAATGCAAGCTTTATAATCAGAATATGGAATAAGAAGTGGTGTCACAGATTTGTTGAGTGCTGCCTTGGCAGCAAGATCGGCCACTGTATTCCCAGAAATGCCAACGTGGCTGGGTAACCAACAGAAGACGATGTCGCATTGGCCAGTAGCAAGATCATTATATAATTCGATTATTTCAATTAAAAGTGGATGTTTGCAAGAAAGATTTTTAATAGCCTGAAGGCAAGAAAGAGAGTCAGAAAATATTATATATTGTTTATGTTTTGGATGTCTTTGAATATATTTAAGAGCTGTTAAGATGGCGTTTGCTTCTGCTGTAAATATAGAGCTGTTATCAGGTATTCTAGAAGATATTGTTCTGGATCCAATGACAGTGGCACATGCCACTGCGCCACCGTCCTTGGACCCATCTGTAAATAAGGATTTGTATGTATTATATTTGATTTTTAATTGATTATATTCTTGTTTATACTGTAATTCATTAGTTTCAGATTTCTTAAACTTTGTCAGAGTTAGGTCAACTTCAGGCCTCACCAGTTGCCAAGGAGGAGAAGAAAGAAGACGGGAAGGAGATATATTTTCCAGCTCAATGCCGGCAGCAGAAAGAAATGGTTTAATTCTTAAACCAAGAGGCGGAACAAGAGAAGACTTTTTGTTGTACAGATCCTCATAGAGAGGATGAAAGACACAGTTATATGCAGGGTTCGACTGATTAGAAGATAGTTTAGTAATATACTGCAAAGATAATTTGATACGGCGTTGGTTGAGAGAAGGCTTCAACATAAATACTATCAATAGGAGAAGTTCGGAAAGATCCAAGACAAAGTCGTAGACCTTGGTGATGGACAGAATCCAGTAGTTTCAAATTGCTTTTACAGGCTCCACCATATATGATGGAGCCATAATCAAGTTTTGACCGGATGAGTGATCTGTACAAATGAAGGAGAGTAGTTTGATCCCCTCCCCACTTTGAATTGGACACGACTTTTAATAGATCTAATGCCTTCAGGCATTTAGTCTTCAAATACTTAATATGTGGTATAAAGGTCAAATGCTTGTCAAAAACCAGTCCCAAAAACTTGGCTTCCTTTACAACGTTAATTGGAGAGCCATCCAAGTACAGTTCGGGATCTTTATGAGGCTTATATTTCCGACAGAAATGTATACATTTGGTCTTTATCTGTGAAAATCTAAAGCCATTCTCAAGTGACCATTTATGAATTTTATTTAAACACATCTGTAATTGTCTCTCGATTGTATGCATATTTTTACCACGACATGAAACGTTAAAATCATCCACAAACAATGACCCATCTATTGAGTCATTTAATACTTTTGAGAGACTATTGATTTTTATGCTAAACAAAGTAACGGACAAAATACTGCCTTGTGGAACCCCCTGATCCTGATTATAATGGTCAGACAGGGTTGATCCAACACGCACTTGAAATTGCCTGTCAGCTAAAAACTGTGATATAAAATGAGGCAAACGGCCTCTCAAACCAAAGTCATGTAAATCTCTTAAAATACCATGTTTCCATGTTGTATCATAAGCTTTCTCTAGGTCGAAAAAGATTGATACAGCATGCTGGTTATTTACAATGGAATTTTTAACGAATGATTCTAGTCGAACCAAATGGTCAATAGTGCTTCTATTTTTACGAAAACCACATTGAATGTTAGTAATTAGATTATTGGATTCTAGAAACCACACTAATCTATTATTGACCATGCGTTCCATGGTCTTGCAAACGCAGCTAGTTAATGAAATAGGTCTGTAGTTTGATGGATCTGTATGATCCCGGCCAGGCTTAGGTATTGGTACAACAATGGCATGACGCCACGAAGGAGGAAAATGCCCTGTCGTCCAAATATTATCAAAAATGTTCAGAAGTGTTTCAAGACAAGCATTAGGTAAATGTTTCAGGAGCTGATAGTGGATATTATCAGCACCTGTTGCCGTATCATGAGCTTGCGTTAAGGCAGTATTCAGCTCATGTAGTGAAAATACTTCATTATAATCTTCACCATTATCAGAATGAAAGTTAATTTTACGTTTTTTCTTGATGATCTTTATATTTCTGAAACTTTGGATTGTAGTTGGATGAAGAAGAATGTCTAGCTAAAGTTTCACCCAACTTGTTTGCAATATCAATTTTATCAGTTAACAGATCGTGGCCATCTTTGAGATGATGAACACTAGAATTTCTACCTTTGCCCTTGATTCTCTGTATCATGTTCCATACCTTCGTCATTGGTGTACGGGAATTAATCTTTGATACAAAAGTTCTTCCAAGACTGACGTTTACTTTGTTTAAAAGTACGTCGAGCCTTGGCATTATTCATTTTTAAATTATTGAAATTGTGGACTGTAGGATGGCGGCGAAAGTATTTCTCTGCCTTCTTCCTACACTTCCTAGCTTGTTTACAATCGTCAGTAAACCATGGTTTACGAATGTGTGGCTTAGCAGAAGCCTTAGGAATAGTTTCATCGGCAATATTATTCAGTTTATCAGAGAACAGCTGAATCGAATCTGGAGCATTGGCAAACAATTCTGATTTCAAGTTGTCAGCACATAGTGTCTGAAATAATGGCCAGTTGGCCTTATTAAAATTCCACCTTGTTGCAGGTGGGTCATCAGTCGGGATTATAGCTGAAAGTATTGTGGGAAAATGGTCACTTCCACACAGGTCATCATGAACTGACCAGTCGAATTCTTTATAAATACTTGGATCTGTGAGAGACAGATCGAGTGCAGAATAAGTTCCCGAACCAGGGTGTAAATATGTGACAGATCCATCATTAAATATGCATAAATTATTGTTTGAAATGAAGTCCTCAAGAATTTTTCCTTTATTATTGGTATCGGTACTTCCCCACAAAGGGTTATGTCCGTTAAGATCACCCATGATTATAAATGGTTGAGGAAGCTGTTCAAAAAGATCTTGGAGGCCAGACTGCTGAAGACTTGAAGACGGAGAAATATATAAAGAACAAAGTGTAAAGGTTATCTGTAAAGTAAGACGGACAGCAACAGCTTGAAGATTGCTTTTAGGGTAACCGGGCTATGGATAACACCCTGCCTCACTAGAATAGAAGCGCCGCCAGCTGCTTTATCACCTGAGAGGGAGAATGAATGAAAGGAATTGTATTGACGCAATTCAAATTTATCAGTACTTTTCAGGAATGTCTCTTGTAAACTAAAAGCCGATGGTTTAATATCTTGCGATAGTAATTGTAGATCATTAAAATTGTTCCTAAGGCCTCTGCAATTCCATTGTAGTAATTTCATAAAACAAATTTAAGGAGGTTCAACTGGAGATCGTGGGCGCATGGAAGTGCAACTCCTACACCCTGTATGTGAGTGAGTGATCTCCATATCAAGTGGTTCAAATGGATTTTGAACCGTCACAGGAGGTGTCGACGAAGGAGAATCTTCCAAATGTTGAAGAGTTCTGTTCTTTTTCTCAATTTTTCTTTTCCTTATTCGACAGGTGGACAACGCTCTCTGTTGCCTGTGTTGAATTAATATCATCTGGCTGTGATTCCTCAGTCTGGGATGCTGATGAGCGTTGACAATCTTGTGATACTGAAGTATTGTCACTCAAGTTCATCTGAGTTGCATTTACCCAGGATAAGTCAGTCTGACAGGAAGTTGAAACTGTTCTTTTAATAGATGGCGAAACAGAAGAAGAAACTGTGGCCGAATATGTTTGACCAATAGAAGATTTTGACTGAGCGTTAACTAATTTCTTTGCCTCAAAGTACGAGATGTTATTCATGCATTTGATTTTAAGAATTTGGCTTTCATATTCAAACTTTGGGCAAGATTTCGACGAAGCCAGATGCTCACCACTGCAATTTGCGCACTTGATGTCACCAGTGCAATCGGTACTGTCATGGGTTCCACTGCAGCGTGAGCAGATAGACTTGCCAGTACATGATCTTGCACCATGGCCAAACTTTTGGCACTTATAACACCGGAGTGGATTTGGTACATATACCTCCACTCCGATATTACAGTATCCAGCCTTAATAGATTGAGGAAGCATAG